TATGTTCCTTAATGGAGCCCTGTTGCTTATGCATCGTTAATCGCCTGGAAAGAGATGTTGTTGTCTTGCCTATATACTGAGTTTTTTGAGGCTTACAGTCCCCAAGAGGGCATTTGAAGGCATAGACGACGTTGGTCTCTTTTAAAGCGTTCTGCTTTGTGTCTGGAGAGTTTCTCATGAGCAGGTTGGCGTTTTTTTTGGTTTTATAGTTAATCGTCAGTTGTATCTTCTGATTTTTGTCTGTAGGGATAACGTTCCTATTAACAATATCTTTCAGGACCCTTTCCTCCGTTTTATGAGCTGTGGAAAAGAAGTTGCTATAAAATAGTCTAATAGGGGGAATAGGTGTCGTGTTAGTTGTCTCTTCAGAGGTTGCATGGAGTTAAACTTTCCTTCTTATGATGTCTTCAACGAAACCATTGGAGAAGCCGTTGTTGACCAGGACCTGCCTTACCCTACAGAGTTCTTCGTCGACTTGCTTCCATCCTGAGCTGTGGCTGAGAGCACGGTCGACATAAGCGTTAACAACACTCCCCTTGTACCTGTTTGGGCAGTCACTGTTGGCATTTAGGCACATTCCTATGTTTGTTTCCTTAGTGTAGACTGCAGTGTGGAAACCTCCGCTCCTTTCCATGACTGTTACATCTAGAAAGGGCAGCTTCCCATCCTTCTCCATCTCGTAAGTGAAATGCAACACAGAATTCCGCTCAAATGCCTCCTTCAGCTCCTGCAGATGTCTGACATCAGGTACCTGTGTAAAAATGTCGTCAACATACCTGCAGTATATGCCGGTTTCAAGTTCATGTCGACTAAGAATTTTTGCTCGATGGTACCCTTGTAGAAGTTCGACAACAGGACACCTAGGGGAGAACCCATGGCGACCCCATCTACTTGCTTATACATGTGCCCATCCGGGCTCAAGAAGGGTGCCTCTTTCGTACAAGCCTGGAGTAGTTTCCTTAGAATGTTTTCTGGTATATCAAGAGGAGTACAGGCCGGATCACGATACACTCTGTCCGCTATCATCCCGATTGTTTCATCCACAGGTACGTTGGTAAACGGCGATTCTACGTCCAACGAGGCTCTTATCCCTGTGGCCCGTGTTCCCCGCAGTAAGTCAACAAATTCCTTTGGAGACTTCAGGCTGAAGGCGCAAGGGACATAAGGAGTAAGCTCCAAAAAACCCAGTATATAGGCAAGACAACAACATCTCTTTCTAGGCGTTTAACGATGCATAAGCAACAGGGCTCTATTAAGGAACATATAATCTCTTCCCACAACCAAACCATCGCCAGAGAAATGCTTGTAAACAACACAGAAATCATCGATAGATACAGCGATAGCAGGCGGCTTGACGTTTGCGAGGCACTACACATCAAGAAGTCAACACCAGCAATCAACAGCCAATTAATGCACAACTATATTCTACCCACCTCAAGACTCCGCTCCAATATAGAAGCATCAAGAAATATGGACCAATAGGCTTTCTACAAACACTTCTATTCAATACCCATTGTTTCGTGTTCTGTCTTGTGTTGATGAAATTAATACCCTATTAATGCCACCTCTTGTTCTGTCTTTTGTTGATGAAATTAATACCCTATTAATGCCACCTCACCCCATCCACCTCACTAAAATGTAGATATAAAATCGGAGATGCGTAAGTTCTATTCAGTTGTGTATTTGTAAACTAAAGTCTTTGAAAATGTAATAAGTTTTACGAAACGCGCTCGTGTCGCGTCAGACTAGAAATAAAAATGAATTTTGGAGAATTGATTTTTGATTTACCTCCAACAGTGAAAAGAAATGTACGAAAGATTGAGAAAATTCGTGTTAGAATTATTAATCTTACTTTTTCGGTCATATTTAATAATATATATATATATATATATATATATATATATATATATATATATATATATATATATATATATATATATATATATATATATATATATATATATATATATATATATATATATATATATATATATATATATTATTATAAATGTGACCGAAAAAGTAAGATTAATAATTCTATAACACGAATTATCGCAATGGTTCTTACATTTTTCTTCGCTGTTGATGGTAACTGAAAAATCAATTCTCTGAAATTCATTTTTATTTCTAGTCTGACGCGACACTTGAGCGCGTTTCGTAAAACTTATTACATTTTCAAAGACTTTAGTTTACACACACACAACTATAACTGAACAGAGCTTAAACATCTTCGATTTTTTATACCTGCATTTGGGTGAGGTGATATGTTACAACAGTTTTGGATGAGGTGAAAACAATCTTTCAACACAAGACAGAACACGAAACAATGGGTATAATATTTTGTAAGTTAAAGGGAAGAATGGAAGTAACTGCAAAGGGCCTATTGGCCCATATTTCTTGATGCTTCTATATTGGTGAGGAGTCTTGAAGTGGGTAGAATATAGTTGTGCATTAATTGGCTGTTGATTGCTGGTGTAACCAGCCATCAACACCACCAATAATAAATACAGACATTTAAAGTACAACATTGTGGTGGAGAACATGAGCACTGAGAGGTGCTGCGCACACAGTGGGAACTACACACTGAGACTCTCCACACACTGTGGTACATACACACTGAGACTCTCCACACACTGTGGTACATACACACTGAGACGCTCCACACACTGTGGTACTTACACACTGAGACGCTCCACACACTGTGGTACATTCACACTGAGACGCTCCACACACTGTGGTACATTCACACTGAGACGCTCCACACACTGTGGTACTTACACACTGAGACGCTCCACACACTGTGGTACTTACACACTGAGACGCTCCACACACTGTGGTACTTACACACTGAGACGCTCCACACACTGTGGTACTTACACACTGAGACGCTCCACACACTGTGGTACTTACACACTGAGACGCTCCACACACTGTGGTACATTCACACTGAGACGCTCCACACTCTGTGGTACATTCACATTGAGACGCTCCACACACTGTGGTACATTCACACTGAGACTCTCCACACACTGTGGTACATTCACACTGAGACGCTCCACACACTGTGGTACTTACACACTGAGACGCTCCACACACTGTGGTACATTCACACTGAGACGCTCCACACACTGTGGTACATTCACACTGAGACGCTCCACACACTGTGGTACATTCACACTGAGACGCTCCACACACTGTGGTACATTCACACTGAGACGCTCCACACACTGTGGTACATTCACACTGAGACGCTCCACACACTGTGGTACATTCACACTGAGACGCTCCACACACTCTGGCACATTCACACTGAGACGCTCCACACACTGTGGTACATTCACACTGAGACCCTCCACACACTGTGGTACATTCACACTGAGACCCTCCACACACTGTGGTACTTACACACTGAGACGCTCCACACACTGTGGTACATATACACTGAGACGCTCCACACACTGTGGTACATTCACACTGAGACCCTCCACACACTGTGGTACACACACACTGAGACGCTCCACACACTGTGGTACATTCACACTGAGACGCTCCACACACTGTGGTACATTCACACTGAGACGCTCCACACACTCTGGCACATTCACACTGAGACGCTCCACACACTGTGGTATATTCACACTGAGACGCTCCACACACTGTGGTACATTCACACTGAGACGCTCCACACACTGTGGTACATTCACACTGAGACGCTCCACACACTGTGGTACATTCACACTGAGACGCTCCACACACTCTGGCACATTCACACTGAGACGCTCCACACACTGTGGTACATTCACACTGAGACCCTCCACACACTGTGGTACATTCACACTGAGACCCTCCACACACTGTGGTACATTCACACTGAGACCCTCCACACACTGTGGTACTTACACACTGAGACGCTCCACACACTGTGGTACATATACACTGAGACGCTCCACACACTGTGGTACATTCACACTGAGACCCTCCACACACTGTGGTACACACACACTGAGACGCTCCACACACTGTGGTACATTCACACTGAGACCCTCCACACACTGTGGTACTTAAACACTGAGACGCTCCACACACTGTGGAACATTCACACTGAGACGCTCCACACACTGTGGTACATTCACACTGAGACCCTCCACACAGTGTGGTACATACACCGAGAGCTTGCTTTTGGCTTTAACAGTGTTCCTGACAGAAGAATATATTCTAGTTGTTAAGTCAGCCTTAACCCATAGACGACAGTTTACCTCAATTCATGTATAATGGATCTTCCTACATCAGTCTGCCGTACAGCTATATCCATTTTTCAATAGAAGATGACATTTTTACATTTTGATGGATATTATTAACCATTATTAATATAATCCTGTTAAATATACATTAGAACAAGAACCTTGTTCTAATGTATATTTATATTTTCAACCTTGCATATATAAATTAGAACAAGCGGCATCATCGTATTCAAACTAATTTGTAAATATATATATTTTCCATAGAATTAATGGTGTCCGATATAATTTATTATCAAATATTTATAATATTGTTTAAATTCTATAACAAGCAATTTAATCACATTTAATCACAATTTTTTTTTAAAGAGTTCAAGACTATAAGGCAAAATTTTAATTGAATTAATATGAATTCTTTATATCTAATGAAATTTGTGTTTACATATTACATTTTTCTTCCTTATCATTCTCTATACTTTAAATTTTTATTTAAAAGGAAGGGAGATGTAACATACAATTGTTTACGCATATTTTTTTAATGGCGAATATGGCTGGGTGGAGACATGTCTATAAGTGTAAATTATATATACAGTCTAAGACTATGCCAGTCAAAATTGTTTACTGTGCTTCACATCTGGATATTTGTGGTCCGCTCTGTGACTCTATCCGTAACAAACGAAACAGGAATACCGAAAGTTCACAATTAATCTATTGGTCCATAGATGTAATTAACTTGGAATAATGAGAAGTAAATTCGTACAGGAGAGCTGTGGGTGGCGCTGCTGGTGAGCGTGGGGGCGTGGGGCGTGAGCCTGTGGCTGCTGCAGCGGGCGTGGCAGTGGGTGGCTGGTGGGCGTCGGGTGGAGCTCACCACCGCCCTCCTGTATGGCTGGGGCGCCCTCCTTAACGACCCTCCCAGAGACCCCTCCGTCAGTGTCTCTGGAAGAGTAATTATTAATGTTCTCTTCCTTTACCTCGCTCCCTTCTCTTCAGCAAGGGAATTGGCAACTGTTACAGCCACTTGAACTCGAGCGAGAGGACGTTTAACACAATAAATAATGCAATATCCATAACACTGTTCAAATTTAATTCTTCTTAATTATAAACCATAAATATAATTTCCCTAGGAACAAATATTAACGATAGTATGATCTGAAATCAAGGAGAAATTATAAGCACATCATATTAATGGATGTAATTACAAAGTTAAAACAAGTTTAACTCGGTGTACATATACTGAGTTTATTTCTGTCCTGGACTATGTTCAGGACTGAAGTATACTTGTTGGTGGTTCAGTAAGCGATTGTGCCGGCCTTAATAACCCTCTAGATGCTGATGAGCATTATGTCCCACACCAATCAACCACATACGGCCTTTTTGATTGTTTATAAATGTACAGCTTGTCATAGTGATACCCGTTTGGCCATCAATTTGTTTATTTACATACATTAGTGAAGCATATATCCAAACATAGACACCAATGAATATTTACGATAGATATCAGCTTGTGTGCTAACTGTATGTAAGCCACTTGGAAGCGAGTTAAGTTGTGTGTTACCTTACACTTGCAGTTACTGGTGGGTTGGTGGTTGGTGTTCTGCCTCATCATCACCACAGGATACAACTCCTCCCTTGTCGCTCACCTCACAGTTGAAGGGACGACGCGGCCTCTGGACACCTTCGAGGATCTGGTTCAAAAGCCCTGGAAATGGGCTGTCGATCCTTGGCTCTACAAAGGAGCAACTCTGGAGTACTTTGCAAAACATTCATCTCCTGTAGTCAAGAAGATATATAATAACATGGAGGTATGAAAATCAATCAATTTTGCTAATAGTTTTTATAATCATTAACTAATGTAATTTGGTAAGAATTTACAAAGTATTGTAAAAATTTAAAACATCTAATAGCATGCATATGGTATATGGAAATAACACAAGCATAAAATATATACAAATATGCGTCATTTATACTTGCAAATATATGGTCAGTCCCATCCAAAGTTGTCCTGAACTAGGGACCTTCTTATCTCCTTATATAAAGCGTTGTTTATTACTTATTTTAATTTATAAAATCAACGTGTGAACACCGTGTGTGTATTCATAATAATGAATACATATGTGGTTTCCGTCAGATGCTGGAAGCGAAGGAGGCGCTGCAGAAGGTAAAGTCAGGCAGCTTCTCACTCATCGACCACAAAAACTACATACAGGTGTTGGTGGCCTCCTACTACACCGACTCAAAAGGCTACACTCCTTTCTACATCAGCGACAAGGGAATAACCGTAATAGCAGTCTTTGGTTGGGGAGTCAGGCAAGTATTTTCAAACGCCATCAATATTTGCAATGTATGTAAGGGAAATATTAAGTACCTTGTCTCACAGAGAATAATATGCAATGATGTAAATTTTCATATTGTGCAGTATTGTGTACTTACATACACAGTACAACTTTGTATACTTACATAGCACAGTGCGACATTGTGTACCTACATAGCACAATGCAGCATGTTGTATTTACAAATATATTGATGTAACATGTTGTATTTATATATATATATATTAGTGCAACATGGTATACTTACAGATTATAGTGCAACATGGTTAACGTACAAAATATAGTGCAACATGGTGTACTTACATAATATAGTGCAACATGGTTAACGTACAAAATATAGTGCAACATGGTGTACTTACATAATATAGTGCAACATAGTTTGTAATTGAGTACTACACAAGCACTCAATATATGTTGCACATATATTATAGTGCAACATGGTATACTTACATAATATTCAAATTCAAATTCAAAATTCCAATTCAAAATTCAAATTCAAATTCAAATTTTTATTCAGGTAAAAGTACATACATAGAAGATGAGTTGCAAACATAAAGTTGGATTTCCATATAGAACTAGTACATACAATAACTAAAGCCACTAATACGCATAGCATTTCGGGCAAAACAATTACTGTAACAATTTAGTGTGTTACGGAATCAACACCGTTGCTGGAGTGTGGAGTGGCGATTTCGGCGCCATCTATGGACCTGCACTCCAACTCCCAGGTACTAGGTGAGATGCAAACAACGCCATCTGTTGGCGGTAGGGTGGCGTCCGTGAAAGGCTCCTGTTTCATATCTCAGTTAGGAGGTGAGGTCGATGATGATGAAAACTTCTGCCAGGGTTTTAGCCACCCCTGTATATGATTATTTGAGACCCCTGTCAGCTTGTCGCTGAAGCCCTCTGCCAGTGTTTCTGGAGAGCAGATGTGGGGACATCGTCATGATACTTTGTGTGGACTGGCCCATGTTGAGGAGGGTGAACTCGACGGTATTACCATTGAGTGTGGACGACGTGTACATGGACGTAGTGGACTTGCCGGGATTTGATGAACACTGCAGGTCTATTGAGTGTCCTAAATGAAAGTGACAGTGTAAATAGGTGTTGTAATACTTAGAGATATAATATATATATATATATATATATATATATATATATATATATATATATATATATATATATATATATATATATATATATATATATATATATATATGTCGTACCTAGTAGCCAGAACGCACTTTTCGGCCTACTATGCAAGGCCTGATTTGCCTAATAAGCCAAGTTTTCCTGAATTAATATATTTTCTTTAATTTTTTTCTTATGAAATGATAAAGCTACCCATTTCATTTTGTATGAGGTAAAAAAATTTTGATTGGAGTTAAAATTAACGTAGATATATGACCGAACCTAACCAACCCTACCTAACCTAACCTAACCTATCTTTATTGGTTAGGTTAGGTTAGGTAGCCTAAAAAGTTAGGTTAGGTTAGGTTAGGTAGGTTAGGTTGCCGAAAAACAAATATTTCATGAAAACTTGGCTTATTAGGCAAATCGGGCCTTGCATAGTAGGCTGAGAAGTGCGTTCTGGCTACTAGGTACGACATATATATATATATATATATATATATATATATATATATATATATATATATATATATATGTCGTACCTAGTAGCCAGAACTCACTTCTCAGCCTATTATGCAAGGCCCAATTTGCCTAATAAGCCAAGTTTTCATGAATTAATTGTTTTTCGACTACCTAACCTACCTAACCTAACCTAACCTACCTTTTTGGGCTACCTAACCTAACCTAACATATAAAGATAGGTTAGGTTAGGTTAGGTAGGGTTGGTTAGGTTCGGTCATATATCTACGTTAATTTTAACTCCAATAAAAAAAAATTGACCTCATACATAATGAAATGGGTAGCTTTATCATTTCATACGAAAAAAATTAGAAAAAATATATTAATTCAGGAAAACTTGGCTTATTAGGCAAATCGGGCCTTGCATAGTAGGCCAAAAAGTGAGTTCTGGCTACTAGGTACGACATATATATATATATATATATATATATATGTCGTACCTAGTAGCCAGAACGCACTTTTCGGCCTACTATGCAGGGCCTGATTTGCCTAATAAGCCAAGTTTTCCTGAATTAATATATTTTCTCTATTTTTTTCTTTTGAAATGATAAAGCTACCCATTTCATTATGTATGAGGTCAATTTTTTTTTATTGGAGTTAAAATTAACGTAGATATATGACCGAACCTAACCAACCCTACCTAACCTAACCTAACCTATCTTTATTGGTTAGGTTAGGTTAGGTTAGGTAGCCTAAAAAGTTAGGTTAGGTTAGGTTAGGTAGGTTAGGTAGTCGAAAAACAATTAATTCATGAAAACTTGGCTTACTAGGCAAATTTGGCCTTGCATAGTAGGCTGAGAAGTGAGTTCTGGCTACTAGGTACGACATATATATATATATATATATATATATATATATATATATATATATATATATATATATATATGTCGTACCTAATAGCCAGAACGCACTTCTCAGCCTACTATTCAAGGCCCGATTTGCCTAATAAGCCAAGTTTTCATGAATTAATGTTTTTTCGTCTACCTAACCTACCTAACCTAACCTAACCTAGCTTTTTTTGGCTACCTAACCTAACCTTACCTATAAATATAGGTTAGGTTAGGTTAGGTAGGGTTGGTTAGGTTCGGTCATATATCTACGTTAATTTTAACTCCAATAAAAAAAAATTGACCTCATACATAGAGAAAAGGGTTGCTTTATCATTTCATAAGAAAAAAATTATAGTAAATATATTAATTCAGGAAAACTTGGCTTATTAGGCAAATCGGGCCTTGAATAGTAGGCTGAGAAGTGAGTTCTGGCTACTAGGTACGACATATATATATATATATATATATTGGTGAAGGTGATAACATATTGGTGAAGGTGTAATTGCGTATTGTTTATAACCCCCCCCCCACCCCTGATTCCTTACACTGCTACTTGCTGCTGCCAATTCCTGAAAATTAACCTTCGACTTGAGGTAGGATAAGGAAGAAGAGGTTATATGATACGTTAACAGAAAAGAACCCGGTTACTGGGCCTAGCTGGCCGTTACATTGTGCTACATGGTCAACTTGCATATCATAGTGCAACATGGTGTACTTACATATTATAATGCAACATGGTGTACTTATATAATATTGTGCAACATGGTACATTTACATAATATTGTGCAACATGGTGCACTTACATAATATAGTGCAACATGGTGCACTTACACAAGCCTGCTCCCTGACAGGCGCCTCGGAGCCCAGAACAAGGCTCTAGAGAAGAGGTGTTTGGGTGAGCTGACGCAGTTGAAACTGATGGCCACTTTCACCAGCTGGGGTCACCAGCAGGGGACCTCAGCTGGTGGCCCCTTCGGTCTGCAGCCTCCATTAGGACGAGATAAATATTAGCCAACCTTGTTCGTTGTCAGTTTATAACACAGTTCGTCAGCTTCACCTGAATGGTAGTTGGTCGTCTCGTCAGGACGACCTCCACCGGTTCCTCAGTTTGTTTCCCAAAGATTAATTTTGTTAATTGAATGTCTCTGGACTTAAAGGCAGGTAAGGTCGAGTATTAGAAGCTTTCCCAGAGCCACAAGATAGGAGCAAATAATAGCTTCTTGAAGTGTAAAAAGATATATTGAAACTAATATTACAATACCCTGCAAGGTTATCCTTCTAAGTCATTCATAAATAAATATCTACATAAATGCAGGTTAACTAGAAGAGAAGGGAACTTTAAAGGGAAAGTGCCGAACCATTACGATTATAAAGCACTTGGAAGGGGTCAGGATAAGGATTTGGGATGGGAATGCAGAAAGGAATGGTGCCTAACCATTTGGACGGTAGGGGATTGAACACCGACCTGCAAGAAGCGAGACTGTCGCTCAACCGTCCTGCCCAAGTGGTTGGGTAACAAGTTAACTGAAATCATCTGGGCTTCAGACGGGTTGCAATTTCGTTGCCTCGAATATACAGCTGTTTCACACTTTCAAACAGCTCCCTGTACACTCCACAACAGTATATTGTCTTCTCCTGGCCACCAAAATTTCATCTTCGTCAAACTATTATGTAAATGATACATATATAAACATGATAATATTATCAGCAGTAATATATGAGAAATAGTAATTAATGTAACATATTCTTCTCACTCAAATATTGTCTCTTGCAATCCAAATATTAGAAGATATTACGTGCTCATTTAATGCATCAATTGTCAGCTCTCCACTTTATCAATGATGTAAATAATGACCAAAACATTAATACTGAATGTTTAAGCTATATAAATAAAAATGGAAATGTTAGTTTGTTCTTAATCGCTAATCTCCAAAAGTAATTCTTTACCGATTGCTTCGGAATTTTCACACAACGTTACATTAACATACGAGCTTGTTTTTATACATACTATATAGATGTCACGTCTGTGACAGATAAAAACATTCTTTTGTGAAACGCTGTGTTTTTCATGTGAGTTTTCATGTTAGGGGAAACCTCCGAAACCTCCTTACCAATTGCTTTGAAATTTTCGCACAACGTTGCATTCAAATACAAACGACTTTTTATATACCTACTATATACATGCCACACCTGTGACAGGTAAGAACATGAATTTTTTAAAAAAACAGCGCCATCTGTTGGATCTAAGAGCAACGCATGCTGTAATCTCCAAATATTCTTCAGCCGATAGCTTTGAAATTTTGACACAATGTTCGATTCCCACATATTTTTATATACCTACTATATAGATGCCACACCTGTGACAAGTAAAAACATGCTTCTTTTTAAAAACAGCGCCATCTTTTGCAAATAAAAGCAACACATGCTGTACTAAATATGTTACGATTCCATTTCCATGTTTCCTATTGCATTGATAAATTGAATTTTCATAAATGCCGATATATTTTCATTTTGATTTAATTATTTTGTCTGACATTGCATGGCAATTTAGCTGTGTTGTTTACCATTCCGTTCATTTCATGTGTATGGTTTATTTTTTTTATTGTCATTGTTTTTCATTTCTTTTTCTTTTACTATTCTTATTTTTCCGTGAAAGGAACATCAGATCATTTGATGTTCCCATTTTTCTGATTGGAACATCAGATCATTTAGGAATGCATCGGATGAGGAAGTGAGGAATAATGGGGAGGACGAGGGGACAGGAGTGGGGGATGGGGAGTGGTGAGGACGAAGGGACGGGGGAGGATGGGTAATGGGAGGGAGGACGAGTGGACGGGGGAGTGGGGGGATGGTGGAGACGAGGGGACAGGAGAGTGGAGAATGGTGGGGAGGACTGTGAGACAGGGGAGAGTTGCTGTGGCTCGCGTGGCAGGGTGCAGCTAGATAATAATAAACATTAAGCAACATGCTTACGAAATTGTTATTTTCCTGGCTTGTGATGTCATTGGCATCGGCTCCTCACGCCTAACACAACCTAAATATACTTCCTTCGGAACTACCTTGAACTTGTCACGAGTAGACAACCACACACTCGACTAAATTATTAGCTACTTGTATTGTCTAACAGGCAGCCGTACTTGTAGCTCCGACGTGTTTCCAAGCAACTATATAAGCCGAGATCCTTATGGGTTTCCAAGTAACCCATAAGGATCTCGGACGAGATCCTTATGGGTTACAACCGACGGCATCTTGATGTCCAGATAACAGACCACCAACTCCTCCATTGGATTGACAGTCACGGCTCACACCGATGACTCACAATATTCTTACTACCTCCTTTTGCACACCTGAGGATTGATTGTTGCCGCCGGAGGCGACTAGTTTATTGTGGACTAGTAGTCCTTTGTCGGACATATTGAATCACTTGATGCATTCTTCTCTTCGGTCATACATAAGCTTGGAGATCTCGTCGTCCACTTGTCCAGAGCATTCCACAGACTGCCGCAACAATGCACATCGGGTTAGCTCGCTTTGGCCGTCGAAGTTGCCGGTCCACTCAGCTTTCGTTGCAAAGCTCAAACGAATATCATCTATCGAACTCAGCTCCTGGGATCCCACACATTGTTGGACATCACCACAGTACTTTATCGTCTGTCTGACAACAACTGCTAGAGTTTGGTGAGACACCCCCGGCTGGTGAGGAACAGCGGTTGGAAGGGCGCCTCACACACGAGTGAGGAGCACACATGAGTGAGGAACACACATGTGTGAGGAACAAACAAGTGTGAGGAGCACACGTGTGTGAGTGCTGTGCTTGGGTCAATCGCTGTGCCTCTTTGCAAGACATCTTAACCTCTGCCGTGCGCTGATTAGTTCCCACTCACGATAATTTGAACTGTCTCCCTAACAATGTCATGGCCATGTCACCTGCCGACGGTGGGAATTTGTCCACATATCCTCGTACCGCCCAGTCCTTTATGACATAATTCAACTCAATAACCAGAAACTCGCCTTCACTATGGCTCTCCCTATGGTCGGCCAGGTTTATCTCGAGGGTATGAAGAAATAAATTTGCAAAGGAAGCAACTTCCAAAATTTGAGCCAACCCACAAACTTGAAAACGATGAACAGCTCGTGGAGAGTAGAGTCAACAGGTTTGGGTAGCACCTCCTGGGGTGTAGAGTCAACAGGTTTGGTAGCATCTCCTGGAGAGTAAAGTCAACAGGTTTGGTAGCATCTCCTGGAGAGTAAAGTCAACAGGTTTGGTAGCATCTCCTGGAGAGTAAAGTCAACAGGTTTGGGTAGCACCTCCTGGGGTGTAGAGTCAACAGGTTTGGTAGCATCTCCTGGAGAGTAAAGTCAACAGGTTTGGTAGCATCTCCTGGAGAGTAAAGTCAACAGGTTTGGTAGCATCTCATGGAGAGTAAAGTCAACAGGTTTGGGTAACATCTCCTGGAGAGTAAAGTCCACACTAACAGGAGAACAGTCCTGTTCATACAAAGTTCAGTATAACAGTAGTGAAAGCAACACGAATGTAAAACACATTATAAATGATTTAATCAGGCTTTAAAACTGTCCAGGATTTGCTGAATTATGATATTTTTAATAGCCATGAAGAGGAGTAATGTCTAAACATTGCAATAGCGAAGTGATTATTTGAGCAGCAAATCTACTCATAATATTACAATGTAGTGGCTCACAGAGAGCATAGTAGTGCTCCAATGTTCTAGGGAAAACTGTATATTAGTATGTGTATGTGGGCCTTTGTATGAGCACAGACATGTCATCCCTTCAACTCACTTATGTCAACTTTATCCACATGCAGATAATAGTAAGACGTTCTTTTAATAAATTTCTGAATGTAATACTTACCAACTTTGACCTACAAGTTTGAAGCGATAGTTTAATTTATTTGAACCTCGGTAATATGCCGTCAAATAATTTTGCCGTGACATAAATTGGAATAATGAGGAGATTAAACTAACTAAAGCTTCTTGTTTTAGGAGAGGTGCACCATTCTTGTCTAGCTTCCGTCAAGTGTTGTCCAGACTGGAAGATGCTGGCATAATAGATCACTGGACTCAGGAGGTAATAACAAGGAGAGTGAGGGAGAACAGAGAGTCCCAGTCCTTGGACCCTCCAGGTATTCATGACTCAGCGCAGGTTAGTATACACTCTGCCTCACTCAGCCATGAATATAATAATATGTATGGTTTATAATTGGCCATTTATATTTTCTTAAAAGTTTTTTATATATGTGCATTCGTATTTATTCAGTTGAAAGTGCTCGTATTCATGTTGCAGCGTATCGAAGGCTTTACATATTGAGATGAGCGTGTTTGAATAAATGTTTACAAAAGTTTGATGACTTCTAGACCGATAATGACACCTTCAACAGGGCCGCACGAAAGTGGTACTTGGACTACATCATCTACAGGGCGCCTTCTACCTGCTGCTACTTGGCGCTGGTATTGCCTCCCTCACCCTACTGGGGGAGAACCTCACCATCTGCTGCTCCTCGCCTTGGTAACACCCACCCCAGCGACCCTAGAACTCACACCAAGAATGTTGGTGCTGGACCACGGCGTCACCTTCTTCACGCTGCAGTGGGAGACCCTCACACTGCTGACGAGACCCCTCACCCTACTGGGGAGAACCTTACCCTGCTGGCAAGACCCCTCACCCTGCTGGGGAGACCCTCACTCTGCTGAGGAGACCCCTGACCCTGCTGGGGAGACCCCTGACCCTGCTGGGGAGACCCTCACCCTGCTGGGGAGACCCTCACCCTGCTGGTAAGACCCCCTCACCCTGCTGCGGAGACCCTCACCCCTGCTGGGGGAGAACCTCACCCTGCTGGCAAGACCCCCTCACCCTGCTGCGGAGACCCTCACCCCTGCTGGGGGAGAACCTCACCCTCCTGGGGGAGAACCTCACCCTGCTGGCAAGACCCCTCACCCTGCTGAGGGAGAACCTCACCCTGCTGGGGGAGAACCTCACCCTGCTGGGGGAGAACCTCACCCTGCTGGGGGAGAACCTCACCCTGCTGGGGGAGAACCTCACCCTGCTGGGGGAGAACCTCACCCTGCTGGGGGAGAACCTCACCCTGCTGGGGGAGAACCTCACCCTGCTGGGGGAGCACCTCACCCTGCTGGGGGAGAACCTCACCCTGCTGGGGGAGAACCTCACCCTGCTGGGGGAGAACCTCACCCTGCTGGGGGAGAACCTCACCCTGCTGGGGGAGAACCTCACCCTGCTGGGGGAGAACCTCACCCTGCTGGGGAAGAACCTCACCCTGCTGGGGAAGAACCTCACCCTGCTAGGGGAGAACCTCACCCTGCTGGGGGAGAACCTCACCCTGCTGGGGGAGCACCTCACCCTGCTGGGGGAGAACCTCACCCTGCTGGGGGAGAACCTCACCCTGTTGGGGGAGAACCTCACCTGCTGGGGGAGAACTTCACCCTGCTGGGGGAGAACTTCACCCTGCTGGGGGAGAACCTCACCCTGCTGGGGGAGCACTTCACCCTGCTGGGGGAGCACCTCACCCTGCTGGGGGAGCACCTCACCCTGCTGGGGGCGCACCTCACCCTGCTGGGGGCGCACCTCACCCTGCTGGGGGAGCACCTCACCCTGCTGGGGGAGCACCTCACCCTGCTGGGGGAGAACCTCACCCTGCTGGGGGAGCACCTCACCCTGCTGGGGGAGCATCTCACCCTGCTGGGGGAGCACCTCACCCTGCTGGGGGAGAACCTCACCCTGCTGGGGGAGCACCTCACCCTGCTGGGGGAGCACCTCACCCTGCTGGGGGAGAACCACTTCTACTGCTCATCTTGTGTTATTGCTCAGACCTGATACACAGTTGTTCATCATAGAAACCTTCACTAGTAATAGACACATGAATAATCTAATATTATTTGAAAGGGCAATCGATTCCTCCATTACTGTATTGCGTTGCTTTTCATCTGGCTCCTGAGTCTAGACAGAGAGTGTTTACCGATGTCAGGTATAATAAAATAAAGGCTGAGCAGTTGAATTAAGACGTTCTCAAGTTGCGATGAGCGTTCCTTTCATAGGGTCTTACCAAAGTAGTCAAACTAAAACTAATCCTAGTTACCAGAGTAGTCAAACCAAAACTAATCCCCCTTACCAGAGGTGTCAAACCAAAACTAACCAACCTTACCTAAGAGGTGAAACCATAACTAACCCAACTTACCAAAGTGATCAAACCATAACCAACCAACCTTACCAAAGGGCCCCACATCCACTAAGGAACAACTCCTGTGAACATATACAATGTTCAGTATTTCATAAAACCTCTCAGTGGAAACCCAGATAAATGTCATATTAGGCAACTGCCAGGTTTTGGTCTCACAGCAGGAGTTTAACTATATATATTAAAATGAATGTACAAAACTATTAGTCTATATAAATAAAAATGGAAATGTTTGTTTGTTCAAAATCACTAATCTCCAAAAGTTCTTTGCTGATTGCTTTGAAATTATCATACAACGTTCCATTCGCATCCGAGCAGGTTTTTATATATATACTATATAGATGACTCGTTTGTGTGGGGAAAAAATTTTTTTTTAAACTTTTTTAATGTGTTTTTTACGTGAGGGAAATCTTCAAAACCTCTTTACCGATTGCTTAGAAATTTTGACACAACGTTGCATTTGTTTTTATATACCTACTAAATACATGCCTCACGAGTGACAGGAATAAACATGCGTTTTTTGAAAAACAACGCCATCAGTTGAACGTAAGAGCAACACATGCTGTAATCTCCAAAAGTTCTTCACCGATTACATTGAAATTTTAACACAATATTCCATTCGAATACGTGTGTGTTTTTATATACATAATATATAGATGCAACACCAGTTACAGGTAAAAACATGCTTAAAAAAAACTCACCATCTGTTGCATGTAACAGCAACACACACTCTACTAAATATGTTACGATTCCATTTCAATGTTTCTGATTGAATTGATAAATAGAATTTTCATAGGTTTTGATTTATTTTCATTTTGATTTAACAATTTTGAGTGGCATTGCGTTGGAATTGAGCTGTGTTGTTTACCATACCGTTCATTACATGAGCATAAGTATAGATGCCATACCTGTGGCAGGTAAAACAATGTTTAATAAAAAAAAACAGTGCTATCTGTTGCACGTAAGAGCAACACATGCTATTCTAAATGTGTTACAATTCCAATTCAGTGTTTCCGATGGTGTTGATAAATTGAATTTTCATAGATTTCGGTATATTTTCATTTTGATTTAATTATTTTTTTTTGTGACATTGCCTTGGAATTGAGCTCTGTTGTTCACTATACCGTGCATTTTGTTAGTATAGTTTATATTTTAATATTTTCATTGTTTTCATTTCATTTTTTTGACTACTTATTTGTCAGTGATGGGAACATCAGATCATTTTATGTTCTCAATTTTCTGGAAGGAATATTATATCATTTAGGAATGCATCGAATGAGGGAGTGGGGAATGGTGGGGAGGACGAGGGAACAGAAGAAGGGGGGGTAATGGAGGGAAGGGCGAGAGCATGGGGGAGTTGGGGACGAGGGGATGGGGGAAATGGAGAATGGTTGAGAGGGCAAAAGGACAAGGGAGTGGGGGATGGTGGGGAGGAAGTGGGGGACAGAGAAGGGGGGAATGGTGGGGAGGACGAGGGAGTGGGAGATGATGGGGAGGACGAGGGGACAGTGGAGTGGAGAATGGTGGGTGGGGGGGGACGAAGAGATGGTGGAGTGGGGAATGGTTGGAAGGACGAGGGGGACAGGGGAGTGGGGAATGGTTAGGAGGACAAGGGGACGGGGGGTGGGGGAATGATATGGAGGACTGGGGGAAAGGGGATAGTTGCTGTGACTCAGCAACCACAGCAACGCGTGGCCGGGTACTGCTAGTTTTCTATATAAATAAAAATGTAAATGTTCGTTTGTTCAAAATCGCTAATCTCCGAAAGTTCTTCATCAATTGTTTTGAAATTTTCACACAATGTTCCATTTCCATCCGAGCAGGTTATTATATACATACTATATCGATATCACGTCTGTGATGGGAAAAACATGCTTTTTTACAAAACTGTGTTTTTCATGTGTGGAAAATCGTTGAAACCTCTTTACCGATTGCTTTGAAATTTTGACACAACATTGCATTGGAATAGACGAGTGTTTTTGTATACCTGTTATATACATGCCACACCTGTGACAAGAAAAAACATGCTTTTTTGAAAAACAGCGCCATCTGTAGGATGCAGGAGCAACACTCGCTTTAATCTCCAAAAGTTCCTCACCGATTGCTTTGAAATTTTAACACAACCTTTCATTCGAATACGTGCGTGTTTTTATATAACTACTGTGTAGATGCCACACCTGTGACAGGTAAAAACATTTTTTTTAAGCAGCGCCATCTGTTGCATGGTTAGACCAACACAAGCTATATAAAATATGTTAGAAGATTCCATTCAATATTTCTGATTGCATTGAAAAATTGAATTTTCATAGATTTTGATTTATTTTTATTTTTATTTAATTATTTTGTGTGACATTGCGTTGGAATTGAGCTGTGTTGTTTACCATACCATTCATTTCGTGGGTATAGTTTACTTGTTTCTTTTTTCATTTCTTTTTTTAACTGTTCTTATTTTTTCAGTGCAATTGGTTGTGAAATTGAGCTGTGTCGATTGATCTGAATTTGAAATTAAATATTTGGTTAGTATTTTTTGTTTTTGTTTTAAAAACCTGAAAATGGACAACACGATTATTTCACAGCTGCAAATGTGCAACAAACAGCTATGAATCCACCAGCTACAGCGTTAACTGCCTTCTTCATGTTTTGTCAAAATGACGCGTTTGCGAAAACACTGCTGTATTCGGAAGTGCCTACGAATTACACATGGAATGTCAGTAGAAAATCATTTGAAAGACGCAAACGAGGAGAGCGAGTCGACGGACAACCTGGCATATTCAAATAAACTACGATTGGCAGACTGTACACCCTGCATCCCAATTCTAGATGAATGCTTCTTTCTTTGCATGCTGTTGGTAACTGTGCCCGGTCCAACGACTTTCCAGCAAATATGATTTGTCAACGGTGTAACACATGCCACTTCCCGTAGTGCATGTCAAGATCTGAATTTTTGAAGAACGACCAACACTGGGATGTATGCATTAATGACGCGTCCAACACGTCACATCTATATCAAATTCGTGCATTGTTTGCAATCATATTGACCACCGGCTCTCCTTCATCTCCAATAGAGTTATGGGAGAAATATAAATCGCACATGGCTGAAGATATTATCCGTCAAATTCACAAGGAAAATTCAAATATGACCATGGATTTTACAGCAAAAATCTACAACGAAGCATTGATAATGATTGATGACGTCAGCTTAGAAATCGTGAATAAAGTTCTCAATTAATTGGAAATGCCATCACAGAATCGATTCGCTGATGCTTCGTTCGATGTAGAATTGCGTTGTGAAAAAAATTACAACACAGGTGATCTGTTGTCACATGTTTAATCAAATATTCCTAGGCTAACGCTTGTGTGAAAAGCCATTTTCAATCAAATAATTCAAACTGTCAATATCGGGCCTGGAGAAATCTTCTTACATGCGCCAGGAGCAACTGGTAAAACATTCCTAATTAGATTGATTCAGGCAGCATTTCGATCCCAAAATGGCATAACCTTAGCTCTTGCATCGTCTGGAATTGCTGCGACATTGTTATCAGGAAGAAGAACTGCTACTTCAGCTTTTAAATCGCCATTGAACATGCAATTCATTGAAACTCCCAAGTGCAACATTTCCAAAGCATCCGGCGTGGCAAAGTATTGCAGAAATGCGAGCTTATTGTTTGGTATGAATGCACAATGCCCCAAAAAATCGCTCGAGGCTCTT